AATGGTGCAACATCCAACCGGACGAGCTTTCGTTGGTAACACAGACTTTGCCTTATAGAATATGGCCTTTAATTCCTCCTTGCTCGGACAAATGTCTCCTACTTTAATTTTTGCAAAGGTTTCTTCAGTTTCAGGATCTACAGTACCGGCGACGGCTGGCTGAAGTTGCATCGCTACACATTCATTAATGTTCTCCGGGACTGGGACGCCTTTCTTATCGCCTGAAACGCCACAGGAGTCATCGTGATAACTCTCCTGGAACTCCGAAAAGTCCATTTGGTACACTGCATCAACGAGCGCCACTTCACCGAGGTTAGTTTGCTCGTTTAAGACCAACGGTTTATCCGATACATTAACGACGCAAACCCTACAATTACCATATTCATTAATCGTCAAGACGCCATCCAGTAAAACAGCGTTTTTATTTGTTTCTGGAATTTTACCTTCATACAAAAACGGCTGAGTGTACAGATACTCACCCTGAAATTCCATAAACTGCTCATCAGACATGGCCGTAGTTGCACGAATTATTCCCTGCGAATGGGGCTGGATTATCACCGGTGAAGCCGGAAATAACTCCATTTTAAAGCAATCAATCGGGCCGGGTTCAGGCTCGAAGCGATAGATGTCTTGTTCCGCGTAATTAATTTCCGTTTGCGGTTTTGCTTGTTTCAGGTGGGCGTCCCTGTACGCCAGCTCGATGGCATCCTTTATGTACACGCATGCCGGAATCTCTGTGGACTCACGAACATCCTGCGACCGCTTTGGTACGTTTTTTTCCACTTGTTGCTGTGCCGAAGCCGGCTGAACCGTTTCAGCGGACATTTGGCTTACCGCCTCACGCTCTGCGTATTCGCGCTTAATTCGTCGACTATAACTAGATTTCTTACGCCGGGGCGGACTCCTTCCCGAACTTTCTGGTGATGGTTCATAATTTCCCACAATTGGCTGTGCTGCACTCACTACTGTCGGTTCCCTTAGTGCTTTGTGTTTTTGAATTTCATTCCAAATTTTCCACTGTTCATTGATATCGACATCCACTGGAGCACCGTAGGTTGCCCTAACTGCTGGAGGAAGCAAATCCGACACCTGGTCACTGATCAACTTATGGTCCTGCGGTGAGCTACTGATTATTTGAGAGTTTATTTCTCTTTGCTTCTCCGCCTGTTTATCTTCGTAGGAGACTGGACAAGGACCAATATTAATTGGCTGCATATCGTCAGCTGGGATAAAGCTACCATTCTCGAATTCACCTGCTGGTGCTGGATTATCCTGCGAAAAGGTAACTTTTCGTTTTCCTGTTGCTTTTTGAGCGGCCAGCTGCTCATTTCGTTTGGTTAATTCAAAATGCCGCCGATCATTCACCGAATTTCGACATATATCACAGTTCTTCTCATAGCGCTCGATTTCGATTATGCAATCCGGCCAATAAAACAATTTAACTAAATACGGATATAATTTCTCACGTGGACCGTACACTTGCTTATGAATTAACACTTCGTGAAAGCAGGCTATTAATTTCTGCCGCCATTGGTGTGGCACATAAATCCTCGGACAGGCACCATTATGATCGGGCACTCTGCATAGAATTCCCTCGCAAATGATCAGCCGATTAATTTCGTGCTTAGTGAAGTTAGTATTGGCATGCGACGGCTTCTTATACATCTTGTACCACATCCTACTGTCCACACACATCTGCTGAGTTTCTCTCCAGAACAGTGGATCACGGAACATTTTTTCAGTAGGAAATAGCCCTTTATCCTGCGGCCTATCCATCGGTATCATCCACCTTTTTAGTTCAGGGTTCCGTGCCATGAAAGACGGGTAATCGTGAACCTCATCTACGTCTCTGCGGTCGCGTTCGACAGGTATAACGTTTAACAACTTGTTATCCAAAGTTAAACATTCGGCAGATTTCGACGATTTTTCTAATACGCCCAAATACAAATATTTTGCTACAGGATGTTGTTGCAGGACTGCGTCCAAGGATGAAATCTGAATTGGAAGTTGCAAGGGATCGTAACCCCCACGAACTTGACTGGGAACAGGACTAACCGATACCGGAGACAAGGTACTCGAGCTGCTTGCCGGCGACGGCTGACTGATGTTTTCTTGTTTAATTGGCAGCCGGGAAGATGCCGGTTCTCTCCCCCGCGAACTTCACTGCATATTATTTACAACTGTTTCACCGCCTCCCCCACGAACTTGACTTGGTTCTGGGTGTTTCTCCGTCTTGATTTCTTTTCTAATTATAGATTTAACCGGTTCATCAGCGACGGAAGCCGTTTCTGGAAGATACTGCCGAATCATTTCTTGTACAACGCCGCGAACAAACTCAACATCTCGCTGGTCAGACCCCGCGTTAACCGGCGGCACCTGCACGACCACTACTTCTTTGATTTCCGCCTTTACCGGTGCATCAGCCACCTTTATTACTTGAGAAGGCTGAACTGGGCGCGGCCACGACTGCTTAGCTTTCTGTAAATGTAAGATACAAATCTCTGGATCAGCTTTTGCCAGAATTAAATGTGCCGATTAGTAAGGTACGAATTTTGCTTCTTTAGCGACACCAATTCGCTCTGTTAACATCAGCGCCGGTATCAAAGGCGATGGTTTAACTCCCGGGGGAATTAAAGGATCAAAATCGTGCGACCGAATGACATCCGACATAAGGTGAGTTTCACGACGTAAGAATGCCGGCGCACCGGGCGGTCTGCGCGAGAGACGCCATGTCATTGTATTCATGTCCAAAATAAATGGTTTCGTTGCCAGGAAGTCGATACCCAACACAATGTGATCCCAGTCGAAGGTGGAGCTTACAAGCATCGCGTGCTCGAAAGCCATCCCAAATTCGTGGATGGTGACCACCACCGAAAGCGGCTCGACCAATTGTCTTCTTTGATAAGCGGTGTGGACAACTCTGCCTTTAATGTGATCCGGACACCGGTGAATATTTAATTTTAGCCATTTTCAAAGACATAACCGAAATACTAGAACCCGTATCCAGCATTGTTTTCACCTTCTGATAATTGACATCGATTACAGAATACCAAGCCTGTGCGTCCAGCGTCGGTAACAAACACACGTGATCTGCCAGCGGATATTGGGAGAAATCCTGGACTTCCATTTTGTGACACTGTGGCGTTGGCGAGGACAGACCTGCCGGTAAGTCCAGTTCCATGATATTCATCTGCTGCTGCGGAATATTATATCAAGCCAACAATTCTGCAGAAGGCTCATACTGACGAGGGAGTACAAACTGGTTCGTACAACCTGCTGCAGGATGTAACCCGTGGCAGCGGAAGCAAATTTTAACCCCACGATTTGTGCGCCACTTTTCTTTTAAAATATTTCGTTCGTCAAACGGAGGCTGACTGTTAGCCTGCTGATTTTGACGATAATTCTGGCCCTGGCCATTCTGACGGTTGTTATTATTATTATAACCGCCGCGCTGGTTATTATTCCCACGGTAGTTATTATTTTGCCGATAATTCCCACGGTTATAACCGCCGTTATTATTATTATTATTCACAGGGACATCCTGCTGATACTGCGGATCGAAATTGTGTACCGGTTGTTGAAACTGAGGCTGCATTACCGGCATCATCGGATTCATCATCTGTACGGGGACAGGCATAGCAGCTTGCATCGGAATGGGCTGCTGAAATGTCTGCGCAAACTGTACTGGTTGCTGCTCAACAAATTGTGGTTGTTGACACACCGGAACCGGTACGAACTGCGGCTGGGGTACATTCAGGATAGGCTGAACTGAAGCCAAAGAGTTCTGCCGCTGCGGAATCACTGTTTCAGTGTACGAACGGGAGTATCCTCCACGATTGTTCCCGTAATTTCCACGACCTCCCCGAGTCGGGTAATAATTTCCTCTCTGAGACGAACCACCTCGGCCGCCTCTATTTTCGTAATTCGAATTATTATTATTATTATTATTACTGCCCGCACTTCTTGGTTCTGCAGATAAATTCTTCTGAATCGATTCAGGCGCTTTCTTTTCTTTATTCATTCGTTTCCATAATTTTTCACAATCTTGTAACTTCTTTTCAAATTCTGTGTAATTTTTAGGGGACGCAGTATAGATTTCCCTAAACCATGCCGGCCGATGATCTTGTACACCCTCCAAGAGTGGTTTAACTTGCTCTTCATCCGAAATTTTTAACTCCCCGAACCATGGAAGAAAACTGTCCAGGTAAGCGCGAACTGGCTCGTAAAAATCCAGTTTGCGGTTATTCATTTTCCTGCGTATATCCGCTTTGGACAATTAGCCATTAAAGTGCTCAATAATTGCCGGTTTAAAGAAATCGGACCATGACTTTCCTTTATTGTCTTTCCAGAACCTTTCGAACCATTGGAAGGACGCTCCCGTGAACGCGCCGGTTACTCTACGGCAAGTGACCTCATCATTCCAATTATTTGTGGTTCGACACTGCTCCACGTTCATGAGCCATTTTTGAATTTTTTCTGGATGAGAATCATCGAAGGTAAGAAGCTTCATACTGCTTTCCGTTTTATCATTTCCTTTGTCCGCGAGTTTCGCTATTAATTCAACCACAGTCTCTTGTGTAAGGGCTGTTCTGTCAGAAATCTGTGTTTGTTTAATTAACCATTCTTCTAGATTTAAATTTCTGGACGTGGACTCATTACTGGCTGTGCTACTAGGACGGCGGTGTTCGTCATCAGCTAGTACATCATCCATCAATTCATTTTCAGTATCAGAACCGTCCCTGTTTTCAGATCTGCGCATCTGACGATTCACGTCATCAGATGTCCTTTTGAATACCTCCTGGCGTAAATCTGTTGGTCGGTTTCTCTTTTGATTAGGCGGCACAGTTTCCTTGGGAATCTGACTTTCTGAAGACGAACGGGGCATAGCGTGAGTTTCCGAAAATTCGACCCGTGATTCCTGTCTAGGCTTCCGCAAAATGCTAGCCGGGTTAGTTGCAGCAGCTGAGTGCTGTTCATTAGATGTTGAGAAGTTCTGTAGGTCAAACAGGGGAAGTGGGGCAGGCCGCAACACATCTCCTGTTGATACCGGCGCTTCTCTTTCAAAGTGTTTTTGACCACCTCCAAGAACAACCTCTGGATTGCTTGCCTGAATTCCTCCTCCATCTTGGTCAGTTGATCTTGCTTTTCGTACCATTCGTCTCGGAGCTGTTTGTTTTCCTCGTACAGACGATTACAGTTTTGATCTTTCTCGAAGGCGGCAGCTTGTGCTTCCTTTTTCGCTTGAATCGCTTTCTCACAATTTGCACATTTTTTATCCTTTTTAATATCGCTCAGTTCCTTCTGGACTTTCCGATTATTCTCCTTTTCCGTGTCCAACAATCCTTCAAGCCGTTCAATTTCTTTTTGTGCCACGTCATTTTTTTCCTTAGGAATATGCATTGGGCACACAGTAGACAGTTTATTAAGCTGTACATTCGCTTTTGTTTGGTCCCGCTGCAGGGTGTCCTCCCTGTCCTTGGCGCGCTTCTTTTCGTCGACTAGATCCTTAGAAAGGTTCTGAGACAGATTTTGCGCATCCGCTAAATTTTTATTGGTCAATTTGTGCGCATCTTTTTCCGCATTTAAATCCCTATGTGCTTTCATTAATTTCTGGTCTAAATCAAAGACCTGCTTCGCGGTATCTGGGAATGTTTGGGCTTTAAAACCGTCAATAGCAGCTTTCGCCGCTGTTAAATCTCGCTGGGCATCTTCCAACTGTTTTTCCAAAAGTCGGTTCGTGTCCTTTAATCCATCATGATCATTTTTCATGTTGTCATATGCGTTTTGTGCATTTTTATTTGTATCTCTTAGCCGCGAGAGATTATCAGCCGCGATGCGTAATTCATTCGCCAACCGGTCATTTTCAGTTTGCTCATTTTCAAATTTAATACGCATTTCACTATAATCATTTTGGAATTTTAACTTTTGATTTCTTTCAGCATCAACCCGAGCATCCAATGACATGGAACTCCCCATTTCGTCGACTTTTAGTTTCGTGGTGGCTATCCATGTCCGCAGACCCTGGAGTAGCACGGGCATCGTCTTCCGAGCGACTAGTCCCACATCTTGATCCGTTTGCGTGAGAGCCAGTAGCTCATCAACTTCCTTCGCTTTGGTGAGAAATTCTTCATCTGGTTGTTCAAAATCTTTCTCCGAAACAAAAGCGTGTAATTTCAATTGTGACGGGTGAAAGGACATCGCACCACCCAAAATGCTTTTCTTTCTTGCAGAAGCTTCCGGGGCTATATTCATATTTTCGCCAAACGCCATGTGAATAGGCCTATCATCCTCTGATCGGCTATCCAACTCATCCATACCGAAATCTGGAAGAGGTTGTTCTTTACCAATCAAACTTTCCTCTGAAGGTGGTTCTACAAGTTTAAGTGGCTCAGTATTTGGTTCACTACGAGTAACTTGTTCTGTTTTCTTGTTAGTTTTCGATTTTGCCGCCACCGTTATTTTGAGTCGATCGTCAGAAACGGACTCCTTTGGTTTTACTCGAACTTTTGCAGCTGCTTCAAACGCAATGATAGCCGCTTGTCTACGATCTTCCATATTCTTCTTGTATTCAGGTAGCCACTTATAGGCCTTCTTTACTGCTTCATTAAACTGATCATCGGTAATATCCAGGTAGGCTTCTGGAATGCACCGTTCAGTCTCATGCCATCCATTATAATAAAAAAGAGCCTTTTTATTTGGATCGACTGACTTCCCCAATTCTTGAAAATCTACCCACGACTTGCCACAATAAGCTCTCGGTAGATTGGGTGCCTCCAAGTTCAAGGCGAAGTACATTAATCCTAATGGAATTTCATCCGGTTTGAATTTAAATCTGGTTTGTGTCGCTGCTGCTTCATATGGGCCAATTATGACCTTATCTTCTGGAACCTGGCTTATCGCCTTGTTCCCATTTTCTGGATTGGACATTCTTACTGTACGTACAGTAACTATTGTGCTACTGTTTCTCGTAAAGCTCTGATATTGCGATTGTGCAACTCAGATTCGCTACACAGTCCTCCTTTGAGGTTTGAACTGCTCAGCGAAAACTTTTATCACAGCCGACCTTTGCGGTCCGACTGTTAAAATAACTGTTAAAATTACTCTGCTGCACTTTGCGTGCTGCCGTAATTTTAACTTACAGGTCAATCACCGTTTGCCGGTGTTTACCTTTTTCACGGTCCACTGTTTCTAGCTGCTGCTTTTGGCTACCGCTTGCGGCTTGCCTTTATCAAGCTGCTAGAGATGCAGTGCCACAGTACCGTACTAACTAATTACTGCAGTCGACCTTTGCGGTTTCAACTATAGTAATGAATTTATTAAAATCACTCCGCTGCACTTTGCGTGCTGTGATGATTTTAATTTCTATTTTCCACACAGGTCAGTCACCGACTGTCTGTGTTTACGTTTATCCGGACACTATCTCTGGTTACCGATTTTGGCTACCGCTTGCGGCTTGCCTTTATTCAGCTACCAAAGATCGTTATCTCACCTGGCCACCGACAATGGCTCAGTGCTCACTATCTGATCTATCTGCTGGCCGGGTACACTGACACAGCAGTTCACAGTTTATTCGCCGCGGTTACTGCTTTGCGCAGACAACCCGGAAATTACCCACAAAATACTGCCTAATTCACACAGCCGACTTTTAAGGTTTCGACTTTTTTCCTACGGTCCACTTTTAAATTAATTTAAATTTAATTGGCGAGGAAGCTCACCAGTGAGGAAGCTCACAAATTGCGAGGAAGCTCGCCAAAATAAATTAAATTAGGCCAGATCTGGAACGCTGACCTCCTTCGGCGCACCTTTGCGGTTCGACGCATCCTGTACGGACCACTTTTACTGTAAATTACCACCAAACTTTCCACCAATAATTTTCTGTTACATCGGGAAAATTAAAAGACACCGGTGGGCGCCATGTCGTGTATAAGCGTTCACACCGGTTAGGGTTTCATGAACAATCTTTACTCTTCCACGCCTGTAAATGTCAGTCGGTCGGCAACTCTCATCTCAAACTGTAACAGATCTTATGGTGGAAACACGAACTACTCAGGAACACGAGAACTCAGGAATCCCTAAGCTGGAACACTCCAACCACAACTTCCGGTCACAGTTTCTATGAGGATCAACAAAGAGCTAGGACGATTGTGTCACGAGCAAACCTGTATTCTATGCAATAATCCGGGAACGATCATGTACATCAGAAGGAACAGGTATTGCTGTCTCTTTATTAATACACTTCACAGTCCACAACGCAAGGAAATCGTAAAACAGAAAGCAGTCTCAGAAGTAAATCTCAGACTACTGATCCCGATATTAGATGTGACAAGAACTTATATAGACTCCGCGTAGTGACATCATATACACCACTAGTAAAAGAGAACAGCAAATCACAGCATAGATTGACTAGATTGTCGGTTATGTTGCAGGTGGAAGGCGGACAGTCAGCATCCGTACGTACGTCTCGGCGTGTGATCCTACTCCCACACGTCACAAGTATTAATCACTTCACAAATTGTCGACTAGATGCGCGGCAAGAATCCAGAGAAATTCTCCGGCGTGACACTGCCATTTTGTCACGATGGTTCTTTAGAAATTAGCCGAATCGGCAAATCCCAGCGACATTGCACGCATGCGGACTTGCATGAGAATACGCGGCTGTAGCCGGTATGTGGCGATCGTGGCGCGCTTCCAGTCGGAAATGCGTCAAGTGCCACGTTTAAAAGCCACCAAATTGCATTTGAGCCAGCATTTTTCTCGGAACAAGGTCCTCGAAACCGACCCGTGGTATACGGCCGACATCAGATTCCGGTGAAGACGCCATATGCCAGTGCTGAGGCAGCTGATCGGCAATGGAAACCAATGCCACATAAAGCCGGTATCCACAAACAACAGCTCAAACTGCCAACGTTCGATGTACGATTTACTTCTCACCCCTTTTACAAGATGGAGATTTCCCTAGTATTCTTCTTCGCACTTATGTGCTTGGCTGGAATCGCCGTTGCACCTGCCGACTGCGGTAAGTGACCTTTACGTTATTGTCTATGCCTATAGTCAACGACATGATAACTCGGTTAATGGTAAATTTCGGCCTTTGTACAGAGAAACTCGAGATTCGCGATAAGAAAAAGGAATGCCAAACGAATGAAGACTGCTTTACCAATTGTGCCGACGTGTGGTGTAAAAGGGGATACTGCGAATGTTCGAATCGTTACTATCCGCAGACTAGAGCTACTGGACCCAACCATGGACGCTGCCACAGGACTGCCGTTAAAGTGGTACCCAGCCGCAATCAGGCATCTTCATCACAGAAAGCACCGTCATCTCATGCTGCTCCCGCTAAACTACCTAAACAAAAAGCCGCCGCGCCCGCCGCATCAGTAATTGGGTCTTCCACAGCAAAGACTACGACATCTACTATACGTCCACGGGTTTCGGTTCGTCCGGCCCCTGCGGCAAGTGACGAGCACTGACTTTTGCTGTGCACGCGGTTCTTGCGCTACTTACAGTATATCCTGTACATGTGTTAGTCACCAGTCCCAGCTGACTCAACGAGTACAAGAAAATCAAATTTGGCAAGAAAATTATGAGCTTTTTTAGCATTAGTTGTTGTTTGAATCTGCTTGAAAATTGTCGCTGAAATTGTTAGATCATGAAAGCAATTCCACGAATAACTCTTTTATGGACCTTATTAACTTGTTCGGCTTATTTTAAGTGTCGGTCAATTATCACTTCCAAGTGCTTGACAGCTGTTTCCGCTTTAAGCTGATGACCGTTCAAAACAATTGTTGGTACTTCCTACTTCGGTTTCTTTACTGCGGGCAGAATGTACAAACATTAACTTCGACTTGCTTTCGTTAATTACGAGATTGTTAGTGTTAAACCATTCTGTAATAGCCTGCAGAGCACTTTGTAGTTTGCTAGCAGCCGCTTTGGTATCTGCTTTGACGTAACAGATGGTGTCATCGGCAAAACATTCTAGTTGCACGCCTTTAAAATCGGTTTGGAGATAATCATTAATGTAAATAGAAAACAAGTTGGGACCGAAAATGGACCCTTGCGGGACACCAGTTCGCACTTCCGCCCAACGGGGAAGATATTTGCTGGCCCGTAGTCGCTACATTCTGCCGGTTAAATACGAGTGAAACCATGCCAGCGCCGAAGATTTAACTCCGATATTTCGTAGTTTTTTCAACAGTGTGTCGTGACAGGCAGATGGAAAGGCCGGCGCCTTTAGATCGAGAAACAAAATCGCTACTGCTTTTTTTGGTCAATGGCCGTTTTCCATGCTTCCGTCACTCTTAAAGGTAACGTTTCGCACGAATGGCCGTTGCGAAAGCCCGATTGATTAGAAGAAAAAATATCATGCTCTTTAAGAAATTTAATCAGTTGCGTCTGTGCGGCTTTTTCAAAAACTTTCGCAAGGTTACAGAGCACCCAGCTGAGAGCAGAGAGATCGGCCGCAAATCATTCGGGGTTGTTGGGTTGCTGCATTTTAGTAAAGCAACTACGTCAGCCATCAAATATTTTCGGAAACGTGTTCTTCTTAAAGCACTGGCTAATTAGGTGATTAGGTTTTCCCGTTTCTCGGCACAACGAGAAACGGGAAAATTTGTTGTAGAAGCTTGTGCGGTACTCCATGAGGTCCTGCACACTTCTGTTTTCCCAACATCTTAACAACAATCTCGTTAACAACTTCAGCGGTTACGTATTCAAATTCAAAAGATGCCGAGGTGTTTTCTACAGGTACAGTAGCCGGCGCGTGCTGTGCGCCATGTTCACCCATAGTAGCAAATTGGTCATTTGATTCATCTAGATCGAACGGTACATCATTATTCGGCTTACTTCTGTTCAACAGCTTGTTCAGTTCTCGCCAAACCAATGCCGAATTTTTGCGATTTTCAGAAAGGTACTGCTGTTTAGCTTACTGCCAGTTTAGCTACTGACATCCATCCCTTTCGTATATGATTTACGATAATATGTGACAGAAGATCTACGTGTTCGATAATTGCGAATGCGCCCTGTTCTTCGCTACAAGCCAGATTCATAACTGGTTGCGTAAAGATGCAACTAGTGCAATACTGGCGTTTAAAGCAACAGCGACTATTGCTTTAAACCTGGGTCTGATTAGAACTGCTGGTATCTAAGCCTAACCCATGAATTCGTATATTCCCTTGTACCTTTTACGCAACCAATTTTCAATCTGGCTTATACGTTGCACGAGACGATGATAATTATTATAAACAATATCCAGAAAGTTAGAAACCACCCAGTGGCGCAGAAGCGTACGGCCAGCGGCAAGTTACTTGCCAGTACGCAAGCACACTCTTGTACCGTAATTTCTATTGCCTTTACCCACAGCGACATAAGCAAAAACACGGGTTTTCTACAATCTCGCGCAAGATATTCCTGATTGTTGTAGACAATTGATTCACACCATTAGATAGAGAAATAAATTTCTCTTCTTGGGGGACGGTGCCGTGAGGCGGTTGCACGTCCACCCACTCGAAATCACGATAGCGGTAGCCATCAACGGGGGCGACTCTCCCGGGAAACCAGATCCAGGCACCGTCGGGATGCCGACGCAACAGCACCTGGGCGTCCGTCGTCGGCCGCTCCCAGAATGTGTCGCAGCGGAAAATGCTCCCGTACGCGATCAGCTGCGCGCGCCTTCGCGGGCATTGGAAATCAATGATTGGTCCCGTTTCCGCCACGTTGATAACGCGGCCATGCTACAGCTGACCGTTGACGAGGACGTTTACGGCGTTCCAGTCAATTACGTCGTCACCGGAAATAAACAGTTTGCACGGCAGTCTCAAAGGTTCACTAATTTTCTACTGCGAGTGACACAGATAAGAAGGTTATGCACAGAATGCCAAAGTTACACTGGATAATACTGTACTGAATAAGATTTCGTTGATAAGAAATTTGTAGAGGAACGATGCGCAAAAAACTATCAACTCAGAACCAGAACAATTTGGATCCTGCTGTGCGTTGCCTGATGACTGGGTTGAATTTTCAGTAGGCGGTATCAGTCCCGGAATCAGGCTTGTGGATCCATGCATTACCGGCAGCTTGCCTCGGTAATCTATTGGATGACAACGCTTTTCGCATTACCGTTGCGCTGCGTCTGGGAGCACCGATCGTTACTCCGCACGTGTGCGTTTGTGGTGGGTTGGTCGACGAGTTAGGCCGGCATGGACTTCGCTGTAAGCGGTCTGCCGGAAGACTACCACGACATGACGGAATCAGCGCAGAATTTACTCGAGGCTTGAAGTCAGCCGGTTTTCCTTCTAGAATGGAACCAAAAGGTCTGTCTGTGAAGGATAAGAAAAGACCGGACGTGATCACACTAATACCGTGGGCGCGCGGAAAACCGCTGGCCATAGATGTTACCTGCGTGGACACGCTGGCGGCCTCGTATATCGACCGCACTTCCGTGAACGCCGGCGCAGCAGCCGAACTCGCCGCCGAAAGGAAGAAACTAGCGAAACACGCTTGGATGCAAGCAAGATACGATTTCGTTGCTGCAGCCATTGAAATTTACGGACCTTATGGAGACGGTACTAAAAAGCTAGTGGAAACGGTATAGCGACTTCAACTGGCCAAAAGCGGGCGAAAGAGTTTTTTAAACAGCGAATATCTATGCAAATACAACGGGGAAACGCGATTTGTGTAATGGGTACGATCCCCGATCAGGATAGCATAGAGGAAGTGTTTCTTTTGTAAATGCCGTTTTGCTCTGGTGCATAGTTTGGAAGGCCAAGCTTGTCCTTGTGTTATTTCATGGATTGAGCATTGTACCGGAAAGGATATGGACTACATTATTGTGGCTAGATGCGTCCAACTATGCTGGTCTTTCCGTGAATAAAAAATTTTCAGTTAATCGTCCATAATGTACCATATTGATCCAACGGATACACTCATACCGATCACGGGCCGCCGAGTGGCGCAGACTGCCGCAATGCAGCCGCATTCCTTTTACGCACCATCGCAAAACTTCTCACCAGTTCTCATAAAGAAATAATATGTACACTTGACCGCACATATTGAAAACACTTGTGAATTCGGTTATTTCGTAGATACATGAGCTGGGAATTGTGGCTGACGGGAATCAGTGATGCACGCGAATGGCCTTAGCCAATGCGTCTGGCAAGCACACACGCGCACATCCGGCTAACCGGCACCGGCAGTATGTTGGCGGCCTGCACACTTTTATAATAATATTGCTTCAGATTACTACATTATTTTTTGGAAACCATTATTTTTGAAATCCTTTTCACCCCCATTTCTTATAGCCACCCCCTTTCACCACCCTATATTTTTTACAGCCACCCTTTTCTGCTGTTAATTAAATAACAATACCCCGTTGTTGTTGTTTTAGACGCTCCTTTTTTATCTTATTTTTATAATTTGTCCGATGACGCCAAATCATGAATTGTTTTATAAGCCTTCCGTGCAGGAGAACTGGAACACCATTCGTACACATTCCGCAGGATTTAGTCGTGTTCTTCTCGCAAGTCGTACCAAAGCTTACACTGTTGTGAAGAAGACTTCCACGAAATTATTAGTGTTGCTCGCCACTAAGCGGAATCCGTGTCTGTATGCCAAACTCCACATTCGTGGACAGTCAAAAGAGTTTTCGGTCACTGCAGCCTAATATAATTAGGTTACGTAAAAATGCCTAAACAAATTTCTGTATTATCGGTAGATATTTTTAATTTATCAGCAGTATTTGTACGTACATGTATGTAATTGCGTTCTTTCTGGCTTTAAAGTGGCGGAGGAAAATGCGGGACGAAGTTGTTCGTATCACATAAACGCAAAGCAATAATGGATGCGCTGTTCGTTAAAACTCAGATCTGCCCAGTGCAACACTTCCAAACGCTTTTTGGGCTTCCGAAGATGTGCTGGATGTCCAGCGGCTGCTATACTGTACAAGACAGCCCCGCTGGCATTTTTTGGGTATAACAGTTGACCGTCGAGCGATAAAACCTGCAGAAGTCTCTGGCAATCGGCAAACGATAAAACATGGCTGATGCCGCGGAAAATGTGGCAACAATTATAAAGCACGCCCATAGTGCTTGGTAAACTGTATGATTTCTTGAAAAGTACTTCCAAAGTACCGCGAAAACAAGAGCGACAAATTGCGTTAAAAATACAATCGCGGCACTTCCAGATCTAGAGAGGAGAAGAATTCGCAATTCATTCTTTATGCAGTTGCACCACTGAAAATTGGAAATAATTGTATGCATAAGGAATACGGTTTTCGTATTTTTGTGCGGTATACATTTCGTAAGGTCACTGCACTTACCGTTAATGCTGCTGTGACAGGCTTCGCCGACTGCGTCACGGACTCTCGGGTAATTACCCGTAACGCAGTCCCCGAAGCCTGTATGCTTATAAGTTATAAGCGTACGTGTTTCCATGGCGTCAGTTTTAACGTCGCATTTACATACAGTACTGGGGACTTCCGCAGGTGTTTTGTCCCTGACAAGGCAGTCCATGAATGCAAGCGGCACTAGTTTGCATCGACGGACTGCCATGTCATGGCACTCGTCTGCATTCATGGATACAACTGGCTGCGATAATAAAATTACAGCACTTTATAATATTGTAAAAGAATATCAGTTGTCTCACTTGTCGCTGGTGTTCCTGTTGTGCCCCCTGTTGGGTGTCATAATATGCCTAATCGTTGCTGCAACATGTACACTGAGAAGAACGGTTACAACCACAATTATGCGCCCCATTGTATTATAATAACTTAAACAGGTAATTCAGATATGACTGTTGTTGCCATTCTGCTTGTCCCTTTCGGTCACTAGAAACTGGTTTTTATTCACAATTACCGCTTGATAAGCACTATGTTATTGCGGTCCTGAAGTGGGTAGAAAAATATAACTGGAGCAATACCGCTGCGTCAGTACTTTCTCGTGAATTTCCAATGAAAGCGATCACAGTTTGCTGCGCCAAGTACTTTTAATTATAAAGCTAGGCTATCGGCAGTAATTCAAGAACTTTCCAGAGAGGATTGCAGGAAATCTGTTCAGGAACGCTTGAAAAGTGTTGAGCTACGCACGATAAGGGCATAACCAGTTTAGGCAAAAAGCGAAATTTTTTCGAGTCTGCGAGGTCTTTTACAGGAATCAACTGAGCAAAACCGCTTAAACAAGCAAGAAAAAGGAACATGCCCCTTCTTGAAACAGTAATTTAAATACGTATTTTGAATTTTATAAAGTAAGAAAGAAACCCCTGAAGGGGAAATTCACTGGCAAAGCATGCTACCAGTTTTTGAGTTCAAAAAAAAGGAAAGATCCTAAAAGAAAGTTAAAGAAACCTTTAATTCATAAAATCAGAGTAAGAAAGAATTTCTCCGGCCGGATATAACAAGGAGTGTTTTTATTAATTTAATGGAATGGAATGTTTTTTTATTAATTTTATTGGATTTTTCAAAGCACTAACTACCAATCGGATAACCTTTTTTTCACTGTACGCACCGCCAACTCTGAATTTTTGCATTTAGTGCAGCAGTACAGTCTGCACTCTGCACCTCGCAGCACCCTGTTCCTGACCTGACCTGTTTCTGTCTTTGTTGTACCTCTTATGCATTAACCTATAGAAATACTCGTAACAGTACGGGTGTGCATTGTAGCGCCACAGATATCTAAGTTATGAATTCGTTAAGGCTTAAGAGTTTGTGTTGTAATAAAATTCTTTGGAAGTAGGTATGTACTATACAGAGTAAGGGTTGACTTAACACGAGGTTCCCAGTGGTTCGGTCCCTTTGCGGTAACTCAAATAACACGGTATAACACGACTTTACGTCAAACGCACTTGAAGAGATATCATGAAAATGATTTTGCTACACTACAAGATTTTTCCACAACGTCGTTACACAGGCCCATTAAAATAGTTTTTACAAATTATCCGGCTGATGAAAGAAATCGGTCTCTGTGATGTAAAGATCAAATTAATTATGAAATACTACTTTTAGTCAACGTTTGTGCCGAGGCTGGCCGTTTCCCACGCATCCGACACTGCTAAAAATGCATTTCCCGGTGCCGATCTGGGCTGCAATTAAGCATCCGGTGCCACCGGACCGGAACAGTGAACAGTTGCTTGTCCGGAAGGGACGCTCGAGATTCCTGAAGATGCCAGTGCAAACGCCCAGAAGTTTGTGCAGCAGAGAATTGACGCGATTAAATTCTTGCAGCTTTTTTACAGTCATTTGGCCTGTGTAGTTGAACGCGCCGCTCATTAAAGATATATATTTTCAGCTGCCAACTCTTCTATTTGGGAAATGCCTTGTGGATTGTTTGCGCCGGTCACAGTAAATTGTCGGTGCATGATGTAATAAGAAAAAATAGCAGAAGCGACCAGTGGCTTACATAGCAGAAGTACACGCGTTGCTTGTTTTGGCTCACAAAGGTTGAGTAAATTAAATATACTGCAAGCCAGTCTGATAAGCGGTTTATATTGTTGAAACGGTTCCCAGCGTGTTAACGACCTCAGTCGCTTTGGAGAAAATTAAGCTGTTTTGAAGGTCAATCTGATAGCGAATAAACATTTTGTTAGTGCGGCTAACAGCGTTTTTTACGCTTTCAGATTAAAAATCCGTTGGATACGCATTGTATTTGTAACAATTTTCAGTTTGATGATAAAGGATCTTCAGTTTAGAAACGTTACAGAAAGTGCAACGAACTGGTGGGCTGCATGCGTACATGTATCGTGTTCCCGGGGAAATTCTGCTTAAAGGCGCCAGTATCTTACTGCAGCTACGGCATTTCCATTATAGTAAGTATGTATTTCGAAAAAGCTATCCTGTACGGCTGTACCCGCTTTTTCATTTCGGATAATTTTATTTTGTTGTGCGTCTTTAGAGACGGGATTATACGGCCCTCCGAGTGTCCTTCGGCCGTCATAGTCTGGAGGCCGAGGAGGCCACTACCCGATACGATAATATCATAGCCGTGGAGCACAAGATGCCTTTCACTGCCATCCAGACTTAAATTGGATTTCGAAGCGAAATGGGCTGTGTCTGTTTTATCTGACTCAGGTAAATCAGACAAAGGTCATTCCGCGGCCAAATCCACCGCAAGTCTTAATGTAAATCACCGTAGCTATAATAAAGACCAAGCCGGTTTAACTGCTGCTGTAGATTCCTTGCTGGTATCAGCTGCTGTTTTAGTAGATTGTTTAAAATCTACCATACCACGATCTAGCGGTATGTCATAATTTGAATTTATATGGTATATATCCATGATCTCTTTGAAGAGCAAATTGTCAGAAATACACCATTCCTAGGATTCGGTTGAAAGATAAAGCTATACCTTTAATAAGTATCATGGTACCAGTACGAACTATGGACCAGAACAAAACAGCATTTACAAAAGAAACACTTCCTCTATGCTATCCTGATCGGGGATCGTGCCCATTACACAAATCGCATTTCCCCGTTGTATTTGCATAGATATTCGCTGTTTAAAAAACTCTTTCGCCCGCTTTTGACCAGTTGAAGTCGCAATACCGTTTGAAAGATTATTTACAATGGCAATAAAACCAATTTTCGTCCGCTGCCAATATCTGGACACACTTTAATTACCGTAAAACCTGAATCAAGAACGCATTATGCATTATTTTATTGTGCATACAACGGTTAAATGTGTTTAACAATAAAAGTGATTTATTTAATTGCAACTCTCGAGCACGAACTTCGAAAAGACAGACAAGTGAATCGAATGCATGGTGCCAAATTCGTGTACATTATACTTGTACGAGTTATACTCGTAGTAACATAATCATATTAATGGCTAATATGCAGTGAATGTTAAGTTTAATTTGTGTTTTAGTTCGTTTTACAGTGTGGACAAGAATCACCGTTATCATCGAGCAAGGTACTCGTACATATGTGTAAGCCGGTACGTTAAGTGGTGGATATTGTTGAAGCGGTTAACAGCGTGCTAACAACCTCAGCCGCTGTGTAAATCACGCTGTTTCAAAGGTCAATTTGATAATGAAGAAACAGTGTTAGTGCGGCCAGCAGCTCTTCATTTTGCGATGGAAAAATATCGAAAACCAGTTGGATATATACTTCTGCTGCATGTGTTAGACTGTCCCACATTGCTAACCAGTTGTTAAAACGAAGTGTTGAGCTGCTTGTAAAAAGGAGCTATGCTTCTTGAATATCTTTGCTTAAAAGTCTCCCAATCTTAGTGCCGCTGCGTCCGCGTCCTGTAAGAATGACCATAAGAGACGCAGCTCCCTTTAGTAACGGAAGCAAGGTACGGGTAGTCATGTGGAACTGATGTGAGGAATCCACGTGATTACCCGTACCTCACTTCCGTCGACGGCATCTTAAACCGACAACAAAATAGGCGCGACATATTAGTACGTAACTCGCAGTATTTCCAAAACTCGGTTTTACTCGCATGAATAGCGCTAAATTTTAACAGAGGGAATTTCCTTCTGTGCGGTACGATATAACTTAATTTAGTTTACTATCTGTTTACGCGTACGGTTAGTATTACACTGTTTAGAGTTATTCATCTTACCATGAAATTCAATATGTAAGGTCATACAGTGCATTGCAGGTAGAATAATACAACGGAAAACAATGAAACAATCATCCGCAACAGATACACCCCAATCACAACAAGAAAAATTCCTCTACACTGTCCTGCTCGGGAATCGTGCCCATAACGCGTACCGCATTCCCGCGCTGTATCTGTTTAGACAAGCGCTGCCGAAAAACTCTTTGGCTCGTTTCTGGCCAGTGGCAGAAATTAGGCAGCTTCCAACCTTGTCCACAAGTTTCTTAGTGCCACCGCTCCAAGGTCCGTGAATTTCGAACGCCGCCGCAACGAAATCGTATCGTGGCATCAGCCAGCTGTGCTTCGATAACTTTCCCCTTTCGGCTTGCTCCGCAGCGGCTCCAGCGTCCACGGAGGTGCGATCAATATAGGAAGCCTCGAGTGTGTCAACGCAGGTAACATCTACAGCCAGTGGTTTACCTCGTGCCCATGGTACTAGAGTGATGACGTCCGGCCTTTTGTTATCTTTACCCGACAGGCCCTTTGGCTCCATTCTGGCTGGAAAGCCCACTGTCTTAAGGCCCCTGGCGATCTCGCCGCTAATACCGTCGTGCCTTGGCAGTCTTCCTGCAAAGCGCTTGCAGCGAAGTCCATGCCGGCCCAACTCATCGACTTGCATGCCGCATACGCAAGCGTGAAGAGTAACAATAGGCGCTCCCAACCGTAAAGCAACGCTGATTCCGCGTTTTGAAATAGGTTTCCGAGTCAAGCAGCGGGAAGTGCGTGAATCCAGATACCGGATTCGGGTACTGATACAGCTTTGAGATGCGCGACCTGATCCAGTGATCCACGCAATTAGGCTAATTTGGAGAATGTCGGAAGTGTAGCGGGCGTGCCCCATGCTAGCACTGAGCACAGTTTTGAGATCAGTGGGCTTAACGAAGAAGCCGAAGCCAAGTAGGCTGGGGGAGCTAGCTCCTCGGTACGTCTGATCCCCAAACCACCCAGGCGGAGGGGCATGGATGCTTGCAGCCATGTCGGGTAATCCATTTGGACATTGGTTATGCGCTCGACTGCGTCGCGAAACAGCTGGTCCAACCTATACATCTCTTCCGGGATCATCCATGCGAGTGAAGTACGTAAAATATGCACGACTTTTGGCACACCCAGACAGTTTTTAAGTAAAAACAATGCCTGGTGATTAGGTATAAGGCGCAGTAGTGTGCACATTAACTCCAGTTCCTCCATCTTTTTTGCGATCATCGGTACCACTCCTGATGGCAACAGAGAAGATTCCAGTAGATTGAGCTGGTCAGCCGGCACAACTGTCAGATCAGGGAATATTCCATATATTTGGAGTAGAAATTGTGCGGCTGTTTCGAGTACATAGCCTTGTAACTCGAGAGCGCCAGCGCTTTAGTTATTTTTCATATTTATTCTATCTATGAATTGTTGTACTAGCGTTTGCATTTTTGTTAACTGGACGGCCACTAAAGAGCTTTTTAAAGCTTCTACCAACATGAAAAATATTAATTTCGGGAATAGAATTAAATAATTATTGCCAAACAAGGTGATAATATAACCGTGTTGACCTTTTCTAACGGACCTATAATTCTGGCTCTAGGACTCGAGTAGGGTATCAGTCATTTGAGTTTTGTACTACAGAGTAAAAGCTTGGAATTTTTATCTCTTTGCAGGTACATCGGCAGTATTGAAAGTGGAATAGAACTGATCGAAACGGACGCTTTGACACGATACAAATTCGATCCAGATGACGCCAGTGTTCTTGATGAGCAGCGCGATGTGGAGAAAGTTTCCTGCACGACCATGTGTGAGCTATATATTCGCAAGGTACGTGCAGCTCCATAATGCAATGTTAGAAAAAAAAAACAGAAATCACTTAGTAGAAAACCGTGCAACTAAAGATAACTCCACAGTGGAATTATCTTTAGTTGCACGGTTTTCTACCAAGTGGAATTTCCACTGTATAATTTAATTGCAGATCGATGCAGGAAAAAGCATCTGCTGGGCGCATCATCTCATCCAGCACAGTTTCACAAAAGAGCCAGCTGCTCGCCCCATTGTCGTTTTCCGCATGATACGAGCCTAGCGTAAAGAAACTAGTGAAGTACTCGCTCAAAGATATCAGCAATAAGATGATTACACGAAGTAGTTGGCAGACGGCAGTTAGGTGCTTTTAAGGCCAAGGCTAGTTCGGCTTAATTGAGATGAAGAAGGCCGGTTTTATCGGCCTTCTTCTATTGTCTTCGGTGTTTACTTTCATTCCACTGACCATTGCCCGGTTTTATGGTTGTTAGTAAAACAAAAGATGTGGATCTCAATTCTGCGTTCTGCATTGCTTTCATCGCAGGTCCGATAACTTGCATAAGCGTTTGTAATGGTGAGCCGGGCCAGTCACTGCTTGCACCATCATTCAGTTTAGGCAGCTAACTTGAAAAATTCATATTTCATAACCCTGCAGTTTTATAACTTTGATAATGCTGCCATCTAATAGAGCAGTCTTCATTCTATATAGCCGCTTCTTTTTGCAAAACGACACCTTATGATTATAGCCGTACTAGCCATGGCCTTAAGCAAGCTTTGAACCGTGTCAATTTTGTTTAAGGAGTCTTTTCTGTCTATCTGCACTCGTACTTTTCGATTTTACTATTTGGCCAGGTTTAAAATCCCAGCTAGAATGTCACCCTAGCCGGAAACGGGCTACCTGCTCCACGATGAATAATATTAATATAATCTGTTTAAGCTGTTAACTTGTGCATGCCAAACAGCACTTGATACGTAAACATTACTGCGAAATAATAACATGATTTTATTATCGCTCAGCAAAAAATACGTACCAGAATTCCTATCCCACGACTGCACAGGCGAAATTAACATTCTTTATGTTGACTTTAAGCTGGTGCTAGTGAGTCGCTGGGGCTAAGTCAAACAACAACATCGTGCTGTAAATCAAAGCTTATTCATTAAATGGTAAGAAAAGGGGAATTAAAGTATCTCAATTCTCATCCATCATTCGGTCATCCATCTCATTCATCATTCGGTTTGTCCAGAATTAGGAGTATTGTACCGTACAATACATCAGATTTTTAGAGCCCTTAATTAAGGGACTGGGTTCAGTACATGACACCAATTTCGTGTACATCCACGGCAATTTTCGCTGTCGCGAACTCCCAGACGCGTTTTTGCATTGCTTTATGATATTTTGTAGCCAGATAGCCAGAGGATTTGTTACCGTAGGCATGAAATCTGTTTTCGCGTGCATCATTCGACTGCGGAGTTATCAAGATAACAAAATTCCAAAAAGTTTAAATGTATTCACGTGTACCAAATTTATCCAAAAGTCTCATTATGGACCGCTCTATTTCAAATTTTGCACGTAAATGCACATAACCATAAAGATTGTTACACCGATCCAGACTTCCACTATTTTTTCCGAATTTTAAAATAATTTTCAAAATGTTTGAAATTCAATTCAATTTACAATTTGAAAAACATGCTAGAACTTGGGATAGGTGTAAGAACGATCTTCATGGTTATGAGAATGTTTCTTCATCCATGTTATACTGTGTAATAATTATTGAGATGTACGTATTGATCACGTTTCCTTGTCCACAAAAATTAGGGAAATTTGTAGAAGACAGTTATTGTGGCACCTCGAAGCCCGATATCCCATTGGCTTTGGCTGGGTTGGAGATGTAACGCAGTGCAGAATTTGTCTAGAATTTTTCCGCATAAGCGCTGAAAATCCTAAGATTGATACTGTGTATTCACCAAAAGAATACTTGAAAGATAATTATTTTCCCAAATGCAAAAATTGCTAGTGTTGCAAGTAGCGGAACATTACTGCTGTACAGATAGTGCAATTTCCTGCAGGCATTGGTTGCGGTTTTTCTGCAAGGCAGAGCTTCGCCAACCAAAAAACCGGTTCTACTGTTATGCACAAAAATTAATGGCTATACAACTGCCGTCAACTTACTGGATATGAGCAGGCTGACTTCACTAACTGTTTTATTGAGCTAAGGGTTTTGCGGAGCACGTGCAGTATTTGACAATGGTTTTCTTTAAGTTGCTTTTCTGGTGTAACGCCATAGCGGGTATCATCGCGAACTGGGATGATCGCGACTATCATGATGACTGGGATGATGTGGTTGTCGACCTACCCTATGGTGAGTCATGAGCAATCATCGGTTAAATTACGTACTTTTGCTTTTGACCGGAAGTTTCTACTAGAAACTTTCTAGTGCTTGCCTTAACTTGAAAACGCATGGCTGCAAGTGCAAGCTGTGTACGTAATAGTTTTTCGGCCTAACTTCACTGTTTTTCATTGTTTGCGGAAACACTCTTTCCCGTGCGTGGCACATTGCTGTCTGAAATCATCCATAAAATAGAAGTAAGTATTTCTTGCACCAGGTTTTTGAAAAACAGGAGCACACCAGAAAATCGAGAAACCTTGACTGACCGTGAAAGAAAGGGCGCGCCAGTTGTGCTCTTTGCTTACGTATTTTGTGAACAATTGTTGGAGCTGTGCCTGCGCTACACAGGAACGCGGCGGAAAGCACACACCAAAATGAATAAAATTGGCACAATTTTATTAATAAGCGCTTATGAATGACAAAATCTATCGGCCCAGTTTGGGCAAAGGGACAAAAAAACTATGGCTATCCTAAGCTGTCACTTACTACGTAATATTTAATGGGCAATAGCCACCACGATAACAATGACTGCAAGCGCCGGTACACTACTTAATAGTTAAAATTACTACGTTGCTTATAATATTATGTATTTGGAAACGCAGCCTGAACTGAAGGCTGAAGGTAATTAAAATCCACGATTTCTGCGCTCATTAGCTGCAGACCATATTATTCCACAATAACCCATGCTCAGCTCATTTGTATCAAATGTCAAAAACATCAAACATAACACTAAGAACATAATTACAGACTGGGAGATGCGCATGGACCCGGCCACGATGCAAACACATTTAGCAAACACGAGTTCAGGCGCATTTCTGCAAGACGACATCATGTATGCGGATGACTTTGGCAATCAAAGCAACAGAGATATCATTGCGCGTAAGTTCAACGCGTTTTTGATGCCTAGATCAAGCCCGAAGTAATGTGGTGATGTGGTAATGGATAAATACCTTTACTGTATGGGCTTCCGAGCTACAGCAGCTTTACTTTAACTTAAGATGAAAAAGGGCTTAGTTTATGCATGTAATCATTTATAGCACTGACTATGTCTGTTGAACTACTTCCCACAGAAGTTAGCCGGCTCAGGCTGTGGCCCAACGGAAAAGTTCCTTTCCAAATAAGCAAATTATTTGGTAATTATGCCAGTTTATGTGGTATTTTACGGACTTTATGTATGTTGCGGACGTTCGTAATCTGCGACTCCTTAATCACATCGCAATTAAGTAACCTCTTATTGTACTTGTTTCAAAGTTCAATTGTTCTAGCTGCTCAAGATCAGTTTATTATTCAACATTCTATCTCGCTGATCGAGGCAAAAACGTTCAGATGCGTGACGTTCACAAAAAGAACAGACGAACAGGACTACATCATGTTCCGACCGAGCAACAAGTACGGTTGCTTATGAAATGGCTAACCGCGAATCTTCACAGATGCAATTCGTTGAGTCGAAGTCAATTATGTTAACAGATAGGCTCAAACTCAGAGAACAAGCAGTCGAAATTACTTGAAACCAGTGTCACCTTTAGTCAGTGAAAGGCTATTACGTAAAAGGATGCCAGTTATTATTATTATTATCAGTACCAATTTGCAGTTGCTCCTCTTTCGTGGGATTTCATGGCGGAGCGCAGGCTATATTCTTAGATCCCCGACGCTGTATCCAGATAGGAAGAGTGCAGCACGAGATCCTGCATGCACTGGGCCTCTATCACGAGCACAGTAGACCGGACCGCAATACCAGCATAATACTCTATGAAGACCAAATACAGGAAGGTCATGAAGCAGACTTTCGAATTATTCCCAACATGCCGACATTTGGAACGGCCTACGACCTGGAATCGCTCATGCATTATGGGCCATATGATTTCGCCAAAACCGACCACGAGGTCATGATCCCTAAATATTCCGGGAAATCCTATCGCATGGGCCAACGGCTGGGATTAAGTGTGCGCGATGCGGCCAAGTTACGCACCGCCTACCGATGCCAAATTGAGCAGGAGGACGGCATGGACCAGCCGGTTTCCCCTTTGCCCACATTCTCTGGCGAAGCTATGAGTCCAGAACAGTGTGCTGTGCAGTTCTCCGACAACTGCAGGCCGAAAATTGGCAGTCGAGATAACTGCTCTTTTATCCTGTCGCTGGAAGTTCGATGCCGCGGTAATGCCAGTGCAGAAGAAATCCACGTCGTGGCCACTGCTATGGCGGCACCGCCGCTCCGTGCTATCCGGGTGGCATTGGTCGAAGACCAGATCGAAGCGTTAGCGCTCGCTCCGGTGGCGGAGCAGGTTGTAGTTCTTCTTATGATGTACTGCTCGGCTCGCGATCCCACATCGAAACTTCCGGGGCTGGCGTTTACGAATTTGCTGGAATTCGTCCTGGACAGCTGCTCTAATGTGGTAATAAAACGGAGTGATTTTCAAATCTCACTGAAGCTGAGATCCATTATTTTTTCCAACGTGACAATTGTCTATCTGGAAGACGGTACTTTCAACAATTTACCAGATCTCCAGATCGTGGCGTGGCATAAGGATCTTCCACATACTTTCGGCAAAAGTAACCACGAAGGACGCCGGTTCGTCCTTAACTCTTATCAAGAGTACGATTCCGGCCTTGAAATGCAAGGATTCTTAAAACGATTACACTGTGATTGTCAGTTCGCATGGTTGAGAAAATGGCTAGCGCAGAATACGGCACTTAAGCGTTCAGTAAAGCCCGGAGAGGTTTACATGTTGGCTGGTTATATGGGCAGCTTCGGACTACAGGCCACTGACGTGTTTCTTCCTGTGGATTGTGCTGCAGAACCATTTCCCTGGAACCTCGACATGATTGATCCTACCCAAACGGCATTCTCCCGCAATGAACCACGATGTCAAAAAAAGCCAGCTAACGTTACATACAACAATTACAAGCTACTGCGAACGTTCTCTTCAGATCCGATCGATGTGGAGCAGTGTTTCCTACAGTTCAGTAGGACCTGCGCACCGGATGCATCCAGATTCCCTTCCGCTGACGATCTGATAGAATACTGCCTGATGAGCTACGTAGCGAACATAACCGCTTTACAAATTAACTGCGCTGGTCTCTCTACCACACTGCGAGAAGTGCAAGATATCGCCTTTTCTTTCGCGAAACCTCCCTTGCGAGCCGTCGAACTGCTGTTAACCGACGGAGGTCACGTCGTGTACCATGCCTTCTCTCCGATCCGAGCGCAGGTTCTCGTTCTTAGCTTGTTCGACTGCGTTGAATCCCGCACAACCGATAAAATATCGAGTCTGGGATTTGGCAATCTAAGGCGGCTGACGCTGACAGGTTGTCGGGACCTGGTCATTGAGGCTGAGGATTTTATCACGGTTCCCCATATTCAGATGCTGCTCCTATCAAACTCCACGGTAACGGGAATGACGGAGATGACCTTTAGCCAACTATTACATCTGGAGGTACTTTCTGTGGAATTCGAAATGAACAGGATGCGTGATAAACTGTTGTTGGATAAGCAATTTGTTGATTACGTACACAACCTCCACTGCAGCTGTCAGTTTGCTTCGTTCCGGAAATGGCTACAGCAGCGCTTCATTGATAAAATGAAACTCTGGCACGCCGATGAGATCTTTTTTAAAACCTGGACCGCACAGTCGGTATGCCGAAACCGTGTTATATCCGACAACGGAGCGGTTATAATGCTGCAGGATAACGAAGGATTCTTCCGCGAGGATTACCACAAGTGGATCTGCTTGGCTAAAGAAGATTTGTATTTACCGGTGGACTGCGGCATTGCAGAGTTCACTAACGCTTGGTTATCTGCGGATTACAGCATAACCAATTTTTCTGTCAACGAAACAACATGCAAAAAATCCATTGTAACAGAATGCCCAGGCTTAAATTGCCTATTCACGCCACGCCCACTGACATCGAAGAGCGACAGAAAATTCTATGGCGCTTATACGAAAGGTGAATGCGGTTTATTAAAAGCGGCAATTTAAATTATACCTTTCTTCCGTACATGTACTCGTACATTGTTTCGTTTTTGTTTTTGGAGAAATAACATGGAATTCATAATTTCTAATGTTTTTTTTAAATCATAATTTCTAATGGTACGAATCTTTTAGTCGTAATCTATTTTCTTGCATTTTATATTTTTTGAATTTTAATAAACCAACTTGCTAATGCCTGAATCTTGCCAGTTTCCTTACTAAGAACATATCATTCGAGCACTAAGCGAATGACTGACAAAGTTTGTCAGACAAACTTGTCAACTCTAACGACGAAATGAACTTTCTAATTTTTCCCCGTTGATTTTAGCATATCGAAAGCACACTTGCTCAGGCAGGTTGCCGCAGTCACACAACCCGGCAAACGTAACAGTTGCTACAGTTTTTTACAGTGGCTGCAGTGATTAAAGGTAGAGCCACGAAGTGATTAAAGGTAGAGCCACGACGATGTTATGTTGCCTTATAGACTGGATGATCAACATCAACCAGCAAGTGACAAGAGAGCGCAGATCGGAATTCACGACACTGGATGATACAGCGACATTTCATCATTATGACGACCAGGCGCTTAACAATAATTCGGCACTGCAGGATGCAGGTCGTCTGCCCGATAACGGTATTTGGCCGCAGAACGGCAAAAACATTCCATACTCAATTGACGCTAATTTTGGTAAGTGCATTAAGAAACGCTAACTATTCCGCGCTGTACAGCCATTAAATTCTCAGAAACGATAACTATTCCGCGCCTGTACAGCCTTTGGAAAGGTTGTACATGCGCGGAATAGTTACACAGCGGAATTCCGCCGTATAAGTATTAGCTCGGTTATCTGCAAACTGCAATAATGCAAACTTGGCACAATAACATTCACTTTGTTCACAACACAATGCCACCCATCAGGTAAATCTATGTTTTTATATGTTTATTACCGTAACGGCCGAAAGTCGTGTCACTGGAAATACTACCCGTATTTTACTGTGAAACTTACAATTAGATGCGGTTGATCAAGCGGAAATTCTCGATGCACTCCATGCGATTGAGTCTCGCACCTTGCAATGCTTAACCTTCATCAGAAGAACGAACGAAGATGACTGGATTGCGTTTTTGAAAACAAATAAGAAAAGGTATGCTTGGCATGTCGCGAATTAAATTCTCTTTTGCACTGGTAGTTGGTGCGGCACGAAAATTCTGCACCTGCTAAATTCTCAGAGGTGCAACATCGATTTGTTAATAACAGGTTATGGTGTATATTTAAGCGATTCAGATAAAGACTACGACAAGAAGGTGGAGGCACTTTTATGTGCACGTCCAACCAGTGTAGCATTAGCGCCGCCAAATACACCGCATGGGAACAGTGAACTACTTTGAACACGAGGGTAGCATTAGCCGGACACTGGACCGTACGGTTTTGTAATTTATCATGATCACTCGCTTTCTGCCGATGAGTCATAAATACCGTAGATACGAAGTACACGGCTGTTTAGGGTAGCCGTCGCAACCGCTGTCAGAAATGGTGTTATTAAGTAGAAAATTCGGAAGAGGCGTGCGCGAAAGAGAGTTGCGAGGCAAAGCTGGAAGTAAGCCAAACGCTCGTCGGAGAATGGTCCGCCATTGACTGGTGGATCCTGTGATGAATTTGAAGCATCTACTGCTTCCGTATCACGCCGCTCCGTTGCGTTCCGTATTACTGCTTCCGTTTTTTACTGCTTCCGTAGGTGTCAGTCACATGTGGGCAAGCAAGGTGGCCAGCAGAATATAACTTTATCCTACGCCTGCGTCACCCGCGGGACTATCCAACATTTGGTTCTGCATGCTCTCGGCCTCTTCCATGAACACCACCGCCCGGATCGCGATGACTACGTGGACATTTACTACAATCACACTGACCTTCTCCCCACTGATATCATGTTGCGCAGATTCCCAAACATGTCGACGTATGGAACGGATTATGATCTGGAGTCGATCATGCACTATGGTGTGTACGATCTGGCCGATCCACGCCATCCCAACCGACCGGTGTTCGTTCCCAAAAACCTACCAAAAGGGAAACGCGTCAAACTGGGCCAAAGGCGCTCGCTCAGCGCTAAGGACATCGTCAAGCTGTGGACGGCGTATAACTGTACCATCCAGAAGGACCGGCCGTTGGGCGTCGAACCCGTTCCGGATTTCCAACGCACTAGGCTGTCGTTAGCGCACTGTCAGACCTTGACAAAGCTGAAATGCTGCAACATATCCGCGCTAAGCTGCAGCCAATCAAAAACTATCCGATTGTTATGCGACTTCGACACAACCAGTAGAGACTGGAAGGACGTTTCGACAACGATAGCCACGTTTCCTTTACATGCGATCACCTTACATTTATTTGACAACCATGAACTGCGGAGCGGCGGAAGCGCTACACGCACTTTTGATCCGATTCGGCGGCAAATTGTTCTGCTGACGTTCAGCTTCTGTACGGGTGTGTACTCCGCAGCCCTTATATCGTTACTGCGTTTCGCTAATCTGGTGAACTTCACGGTGAGGTTCTGCTACGAAGTGGTCATAAGGAAAATGGATTTTATTGGGCTGGATCGGCTGGAAATCGTGATCTTCAGTTTCAGCACCATACAGAGTTTAGAATGGGACACCTTTAGCATTTTACCGGCACTGAGAATTCTCAGTCTGGAGAACAACATATACACCAATAGGAGTATGCGAATACGGCAAAATAACGTCAGTTATATGGGAGTGGATCAGCGCGTTGCCTATATTCGGAGACTGCATTGCAGCTGTGATTTTGCCGCTTTTCGTTTATGGAGAAATGCCAATAAGAATCTACTGTTTAATGTGCTTGAGGGAGAAATTCATTACATTGACGGCGTTATGCGAAACGATGAAATTGCCGCGCGAGAGATTTTTTATCCAGTTGACTGCCTTGCTGATCCTTTTCCAACTGTGGAAAGCGCGTTTAACTATTCTCAAACGAATTATTCCATAAACGAACCACGGTGTAAGTGCAAAGTTTTGGATTTTTTTTAGTCTACTAGGGCAGTTTTTTCAGGCCGTGGTTAACAAGCAAACATTTCCAAGACTGTACAAATGCCTAGACTACACTAATCCCATTCTGCTGTTTTCTTAAGGAAAATGTCCGGATTCAGATACTAAAACGTTCGCTTTCAGGCACTCGGAACACTTTTTTGTACTACTTTATGTCATTTTAAAGCTAAATGATTTGCATACTTTGTCCGGGAAACCTTTTACTCGCGCAGCATCCGGTTGCCGAGATATTGCGAACCAATATAAGCGCAAAGTTTAAATGCATCGTTGTGTACCAAAAGTATGGTTATGACCCGGTCTTGTTGAAACTTTGCTGTAAGTGTACACCAATGAGGTTAAGATTATTAACATAGTGAATTCACCGTTCTGTACTTTAGGCGGTTTGCCCTCAGCCGTTGAGCGGCCCAACCAAACTGAATCTACCAAAATACCGATTCAGAGACCGGAAACTGCTGGTACCGTAAATTACCAAAACAAATAATTTTTATCTGTTAAAGAAATCCTGCTCCGAGTTAATGCTTTTATACAGTTTTTTGTAGGTCGGAACCACTCGAATCCTTATCAAGATAGCGAGGGTATCAGCCAGTTAACGGACTGATCTACATGTGACGTGCATTTCATTTTTGAAGAACACCTTTTTTTGTCTAGAATGGCCTCTCTTGTTCAATACTTCCATGCTTTCGCACCGGTTATTCACGACACCGAGCCCGGAAAAAGGTTGGCCTAGTTTTTGGTGTATTTTGTATTTGGCTGTTTCCCGCTATACATGAGTCATAGAGACGGACACTTACCTAGACACTACAGCCGCCGCCAACCAGCAAGCTGACTCGGGCAAATGGTTGTATTCTTGCCTGGGTGTACTGGCCGTGCTGGTTTCCATTCCCGTTATATATTTTATTTGGCGCTGGTCAAAAGAGCACCGTTCCAGTACCAAGAATCCGGCCTCGACGAATACTGATCGTTATTCTGCCGACAACGGATATCCTATGGGATCTCCAGCTGAAGCGGATCAGTCCATGGAACTATCGGTTCGGAGTCGGGACGACAAAGAGGGTTCCATAAGTTCAGCTTCCGACATAGTCGAAGCTGCGCAACTGTTAGGTGTCGCACCGGCTGCTGACACTAGCTCCTTAGAGTCTGCATCTGGTGTGGATAAAATGGCGAATACAGAAAATTAACCTTACGCTCATTGGGAAATAAGAGAGAATTTTGCTATCTACTCTGTACCAGGGGCAGCAGCTATACTGGTGCAAGGCTGATCTTGACCAACACTGTGGCAATAAAATTAAAGGATTTCGTTTAGTACCTGGATGATGAGTATGGTTCAGACCTGGACACTGGGCAGTCATGGCAGACAGTCATGCAATCACCGTTAGAGTTACGAGTTACAGGGAGCGTCCGAGTTACACTGTCCATGCAAGTAAAATCGAGTTTTGAGTTATACGGGGAGTTACGCTACGATAAAAAATACAAGTTATATACAAGTTTTAGGCGAGTTGCGCTAGAGCCAAGTTTTTTGGGGCAGCGAGTTACTGTACGCTACAGAGTTACGTTAAACCTCGATAACTCGCAAATAACTCGCGTTAAGTTGTAGAGTTAACTGTCCGGGTCTGGAAAACAACCGTGAAATGTTTACACATATTTTTTTCGATTTACGCTTCCCCGTAATCAGCTAATACCTAACCAGAGAACGGCGCTTGTTCGGTATCGGATTACTGCTTAAGATATATGTACATACATTTTATTATGGGTAACGTCTGTGTGTTGATATCCACACCGGATGAATCACTTCTCAACAACTCCTGTCGAATGCAATTATCCCCGTTTTTTGTAGCACAGTTTTTGTAGCACAGCGAAGTATTAACGAAAGTATTTTGTCTAGAACAGCAGGAAAGCCAACTAAAATTCTTCGACGCGACCAACAAAAAGAATGGCGTTGGTTGGATTATGGCGAATGGCGAAAATAAACGGATGATCAGCGACGAACGATTTGGGCGGCTCGCGGTCGGCTGATGCTCCCAGTACGAATAAGGTCACAGCGGCGGCTTCCGTCCCGTACTCATCAATTTCTAGCAACAAGGTCAAACTGTTATCGGCTTGAAAATGACACAAATATTGAATAGGTGTCTAACAGGCGACGCAGAATAGTCACGAACGGCTGATACGATGTGAAGGTTATCTGACGTTTTTACTTTTTCTTAATAACTTTAATCAGTATGTTTTACAAAAGGCAACGCCTAGCGTTCACGAAGACGAAGAATCCATTCCAGTTAATGCAAGATGGAACAGTTCCCAAATTACTCTGAGCATTACCAAGCTGAATTTCGAGACCTAAACGTTGAAAAAGAAAACAGATGAAGCGTCGAGATGGAACAGGGCTTTCTCTCGTTCGATTATACAGTTTCTTGTCGATTTCCTTCAACAAATTACTTATCTTACATACTTATCTTGCCTACAAATTACTTCTTTCAACAACCTTTTTATTACTTGTCTTACCTACGAACGCCTTATGGAATGCATGACTGATGTGCCATCTGTTTGGGAATTTGAATGGTGCCATATTTGAGAAATCCGCTGTGCTATTATCAAACGCTTCCCTAACCCCGATCAGCAGTAACATGGCGCTTAAATCAAGATCCGCTTCCGCTCTGAACTTGGGAATATCAACCGAAACCTGTTTTTCCACGACTTTCTTCTGCAGCTCACCAAGCACACCAGCGGTCAATTTCTTCTCCAAAGCACGAAGACCGTCTTTTTTGTTAGGCAGCAAAAACAACATGGCGCCTTGGTTGTTAACGTATGGATACTCAATATATTTCACATCTAAATGTGCATCCTCCGCGTAAGGAAGCCCATAGACAAACTGGTGCATGGTGTCCACCTGGATCGTCTGTCCGGTCAGAAGAGTGAAATCCTTCTTTTTGGTTAGAAACGGCTCAAACTGCAGATCCGGCTCCCAGTTGGCTTTGAAGTACAGGGCGTTGGCTAGCACCGCAATACTGTCGTTCACCACCGCCCCGATGGGCAGGACGTCCTGGATGCGTCCGTTGGATCGGTCGGCCACCCATTTGTTGATTTCCCGGCGGGATTTTTCCGGATCCGCTTTGAAATCTTTGGACTCGGCTTGGGATTCCAAGTAGTAAACCAGATTATCTTGAAACTGTTTCTGGAAGATCATACCTTTCTGTAAAAAGATAGCGTTCACCAGACTGATGATAAAGCTGGCCCTTGGATCGGTAGATTTCGTTGAGGTGAGGTTGGCCATGGAAGTGGAAAATGCGGTAAGTAGTGCATCAACGTCACTGCGGAAGTACTGATCAAAACGGAAGCTCTTGGCCAGGTTGGACTTGGTCGAACCGGATGAGCCGACGTAGAGCAGCGCGCTGGCATACAGAATAGACACGGGGGATAATGCCAGATTGCCAGTGGGTTGCAGCCGGATAGCGGCGTTGTACAGCTGGGCGACGTTGGCGTCCAGCAGCTGGTTAAATGTCGAATTTTCCATCATGAACAATTAAGCGTGACCGGCTGCCATTGCCAGAAAGGTTTTACTTACTGCCTGTCTAACGTGGTCCGGATTATTAGCTACTCGGTCTGAGCGGCTGCTTAACGCATACGTAAGAAGATTTTAAGGCTGCAAAATTCCGGCGACAATTGAATCACATGCCTAACCGGTTATAATTGTGAAATCACGCACAAAATTTATTACTGCAGTTTACGAGGCTCCCTTGTGAGTGCAGTTAATCAAATCACAAATGCATCAGTATGAAGGCCATGCCTCGAGCGGATTACGTAATGTTTCGTCCAAGTGCCCCATGCACCTACCCGAGCAGGCATGCCACCGTCACTGCAGGGGATCGCCACTGCCCCTTTTGGGATTGTTGTTATACAGGTCCCTTTTCATAGTGTTAATAATTTCACTCTGGTCTCTGACTAGAAAAAAAGTCCACGCCCACGTGGGGCGTGGACCCTACTTATTATCTTCAGTCTGTCCCTACTTATTATCTGCCATGCATAGTTCTTTGCTCATATTGCGATTAGTTCGACGTAATATGGTTATGTGCAACAACATTTTTGATGTACAACTGGTTAAGCGGCTACATAATTTTATCTGCGATAATCGGTACACAGTTTCTGAAAAAGGTTCTTCATAACATCGTTACAGGCGGCAGGCCTATTTAAATAATTTTCATTATTTATCCGGCTAAGGAAAGAAACCGCCAGTACTATGGCCCGATGCACGGCGTTTGCAACGGAACATTTTAATTTAGCTGTTGTTGAAGGATGTTATGCTTATGCAGCATGACGATTACGGGAACCATCATGTGGAAGTTTCGCATGATTACCCGTACCTCGCTTCCGTCCAAGACATCCCAAAATGACAGCGGGATGTGCGCGGCATATTTGTCTATGGTAGCCTCTATGGTAGCGTATACGTAACTCGTGGTTTTATTCAGAACTCGGTTTTACTGGCATTAATTGCGTTACTCGCACGCTTCCTGTAAATCCTAACTTTAACGGTCCCGCTTCCCGATAAAGGTCAACTTCCTGCGGCACGATACATTAAAATTTTGTTTATGTGATTTACTATCTGTATGACCACTGGAAGCAGTAAACTGTCCTGTGTAATACGCCTGTTTTGGGTACATTTGGTTGTGTTCGTGTCTAGAAGAAGCCGGGCTCCTGCGGCTATTAACTTGTTGATCACTCATGCACGCCAAATGCTCGTTGCACTTTATTAATATTCCGGGAACGAATAGCGTGGACGCTAAATGCTTCCGCCCACCAGATCCGCGTCCGCGTGGGACGGATGCAGCGTAGTACGCTGCCTGAACAAAAAGGTTGTCGCTACCGGCATAAATGTGTTGATCTACAGCAGCAGGCGTCAAGCGGGGGTAATCTGCAAGTAATATGATCTGCCAGTAATATGAATGCCGGAAACGTATCGATCCCCGACAATATGCGTGTACCGAATAATTATAATGAATCATTTCATGGGTATAGTAAATTACTGTATATGCATTCCAGCCATAAGACTTTGCGGGGGAATACTGTTTCATTAAAAAAATTTAAACACTGAAAAAACAACCGGAAATGCGGAATCTGTGTTATTTCCGTCGGCACGCCGCACGTTAAAGGGCAGTGTACTGTAATGGATCATTTCCTTTGCGAACAGCCAAAGTGAAATGCTTGAGAAAAGCAGTGGAATGCACAACTCCACTGATGTGATTCACACATTTCCCGGCTTATAAAATGCCATTATTCGGTTAAAGCTGGGTCGAAAGCATCCGGCGTTTGAATTGCTATGGGAAAAGCAAGTTAACGATTTACCATGAGGAGCACTTCTTGTGATGTATGTGTAGCGGCGATGTAATACTTTATTAACCTGCTCGCTACCGAGCCAACCAGACAACTAATCGCTAAACATGGCGACAAAATCGCTTTCAGTCCCTGTGTAATGTACGTACCAACCACGACGACTACCCGTGCTGGCGGCAGGCGACACTACCAGTGAGCAGAGGTGGCATAGGCATTCGTCGAGCGGAGGAATTAGCACTCCCAGCCTATTTGGCATCGATTCACTCCGCGTCCGATTTAATGTCTAAGCTGCTACCTGATCACCCCCCCCCCCCCGTTAACACTTCCGCTGCCTTGGAATTGTGGAAAGCGAACGCGCGCCTCACTGATCTTCCTGAGCCTAACTTTAAGAAGTTACAACGGTCCTGGGACTTACCGCTGTGCAATGCATCACTATCGACTCTCCTGGACGTTTTCCGCCATGACGAAGTAAACAGGGCTCGACTCCTGGGTCAGTCGACTCCAGAAGCCGGTTTATGGCTGAATGCCTTGCCCTCGGCGCATATCGGTAACCTTCTCGATGATGAAACCGTAATGATATCGATCGGGCTGAGACTGGGAGTTGCAATCTGTGAGCCTCATCTTTGCGCTAAATGCAACAAGCCGGTCGACGTGTACGGCCACCACGGCTTGTCCTGCTCTTTTTCAGCCGGAAGACATGCTCGCCACGGTGGCTTAAACAGTATTGTGTGTAGAGCGTTGGTATCAGCTGGCATCCCCGCCAAAGTGGAACCCCGGGGAACTTCCCACACGTCAGACAGACGTCCAGATGGTTGCACCACCTTCGCTTGGAAACGCGGTATGTGCTTGGCATGGGAAGTGACATGTGTGGACACTGTCGCTATGTCACATCTGCGATCAACTTCAACGACAGCAGGATCCGCTGCCGCACAAGCGGAAGAGAAGAAAGTGCGATTTTATTTCTATCTGGAGGGTAGATATATCTTCGCACCGCTGGCTTTCGAAACACTTGGTCCATGGGGAAAGTCAGCTACCCGTTTAATGAAAGAAATCGCCAAGCGGCTTCAGCAGCACACGGGAGAGCCACGCTCGCACGAATTTCTCCGCCAGCGACTGTCACTGAAAATTCAGCGAGGAAACGCCGCTTCCGTGCTCGGAACAATGGAAGGAGCGGCGTCATTAAACGAAATTTTGTTTTCTGATTAACTGTTTATAACTGTGATGTTACCGCGTTTCAATGAAATAAAAATACAGGCGACAACAGTAGACAACAGATACGCCGTTGCTACGGCACATTAGCCATAGCCACAGGGCAACAATTCACGAGATACTTTGTACTCGTACGTCACTGTACCAGTACGTACAGTCATAGACTACAAGAAGAATTCGCAATTCATTCTGTATGCAGTGGTACTACTAAAAGTGGAAGTAATTATCAATAGATTCATATATCCTTACGTCCTTATTTTTTGAAAATTATCTCCTAAATCAGGATTGATGTTTTCAATAAGTTGATAATTTTATAAAATAAAACAACGCACAAACGTTCCTACCTTTATCTTCAAAAAAATCTTAAGTTTAAGAGAAGGTCTAAAAAAATTTTTAAAAGTTGTAGTACTTAAGGGTTGTTAGTACTTAAAGATTGTTAGTTTTGAAAATTATCTCCTAAATCAAGATTGATTTTTTCAATAAGTTGTTAATTTTATGAAATAGAACATCGCACAAACGTTCCTACCTTCACCTTCAAAAAAATCATAAGTTTTGAAGAAGGTCTAAAGAAAATTTTTAAAAATTGTTAGTACTTAAATGTTGTTAGTACTTAAATGTAGTACTACGTAAGTTGTAGTACGAGAATGCTGTTAGCTTCTAGAGAGTTCGCAACTTAGCAACGTAAACAATAGTTATTTAAAATTGCCAATTACATCAAACATAATTTTACTTTTTCTAATTCTTGAAACCTTTAAGACGTTCTTAAATCCGTTTGATTACCTCAAAATTTAACTATAAGTTCTTCCAAAGTCGGCTTTAAAGCTTTTACATTTCAAGATTTTTAAATATTTCGAGTCGGCCCCGCGCAGCGGGGCCGTTACCTTTATATATTTCCAGTCCAGAGTTTCTAAATTTCAAAAATGTCTAGAAATTTGAGCACCTCAATATCTCACGGTCTAAATTGTCTAATTTATATGTAAATTCTAAGTATGTAAAAGCCGCCCCGCGGCCCGTATATAGTATTCACTCACGAAGCGGCTCTGTGATACTGGTGGCAGCTTGGGCATTCATTAACCTACGTTGCTCTGTAATTCTGTTGGTAGCTTGGGTAATCACTAACCTCGAAATCTAATAAATATGTATTTATTTTGTTTTAATAAATTCTGAAGAGCTTGACTGAATGGCTGAAAATCTTACATTCACTTAGTAGCTAAAGATGCAGCCTGCGAGGTCACTTTGGCCCAAAGTCTTTGGGCAACCGTTAATTGTTTCCCACAACCACAAGTTTCCATTAATTCAGCGCTGAAATATCGGCTGAATGGTTTTTTATGGGCATCGCGCAATATTATCTGTCGTACCAAAAAACTCAAGTTTACAGTTCGTTAAATCGGCAATATAAAGTTACATTAAAAACGTGAAAAAGAGCCATGAAACAAGAAAATTACGGAGGATTTCAGTTTTTATAAACTGGTCGAATTTAACCGGAAAGCTTGAAAACTTTCCGCATTTCTACATGTTCAGAATATTTTCGTGCTGGCCTCGCTGGGGTTTTATATTTGAAATATTTCTTAAATTTTTTTTAATGCTGTACGAAGTATGCTTTGTGTTTCTTTCATTCTTCCATACCTCGAACACAACTGGTCGCGCGCTAGCGCGACCGATACTTGTAATATAATATTATTACAAATTGCATAAGGAACACGATTTCGTGTTTTTGTACGGTATTCACATCGTAAGGTCACTGCACTCACCGTTAATGCTGCTGTGGCAGGCTTCGGCTACTGCGTCACGGACTCACGGGTAATTACCCGTAACGCAGTCTCCGAAGCCTGTATGCTTATGAGCATGCGTATTTCCATGGCGTCATGCAGTTTTAATGTCGCATTTACAGTACTGGGAACTACCTTTTTGTCCCTGGCAAGGCAGTCCATGAATGCAAGGGCACTAGCTTGCATCGATGAACTACCATGTCATGGCACTGGTTGGCATTCATGGACACAACCGGCTGCAATAATTACAGTGCTTTATAATAATGTAAAAGAATTTCAGTTGTCTTACTTGCACTTGCCGCTGGTGTTCCTGTTGTGCCCCCTGTTGGGTGTCATAATATGCCTAATCGTTGCTGCAACATGTACACTGAGAAGAACGGTTA